GAATGCAGGGGAAACAAACGCTTGATCGCAGTGAGAGTAACGCTTTAGGTAGCAAGAGGGTTAAGGTTAGGATGAGGGAGAGGGGAAGGTTATAAATGGCGAAACGTTAAGGTTTAGGTGCGGTTAAACGAGGTGGTTCGGTGCCGCATCGGTTAAATGAGCTGGTTTGGTGCCGCATTTAAGGTTTAGGTGTGGTTAAACGAGCTGGTTCGGTGCTGCATCGGTGAAATGAGGGTTAAGGTTAGGATGAGGGTGAGGGGAAGGTTATAAATAGTGAAACGTTAAGGTTTAGGTGCGGTTAAATGAGCTGGTTCGGTGCCGCATCAGCGGATATCCAATCACGTCGGTTTTACGCTGCATTGGGATCTGCAGTTACAAAAGGGGAAAACCCCTTTTCGCACATAAGTAACGAAAAAGGGCACTTTTGGCGTCTGGGGTCTGACGTGGAGGGTGGCTGACCAAGCGTTTGTTTCCGACGCTTAGGGTGTGAGAATGTGTTGCTAAAATGTATAATGAAGAAAAAACATATACTCTGTATAAGTTACACTGAACTATAAATCTCATTTTTGGGGGAAATTTTATTATTTTTCTTACTAAATCTGAGACCAAGCATTTTACATTGCAAGACAAGTACCGGTAACAATAACAGAATAAACAACCAGCTGTTGCATCAGCAGTATGCGCAGCAGCACGCCACGGTCTCCAGCAGAGGATGGCAGTGTTTCTAACCCTCCCAGCGGGTGGGGAGAGCTTATTCCTGGGCCGGAGCCGGCCCGCAGCACCCCACCACAGGCTGCAGCAGGTGATGGCGGTGTTTGAAACCCTCCCAGTGGGACAGGGGAGCTCATTCCTGGGCCGGAGCCGGCATGCAGCAGCGCGTAGCAGTCTCCAGCAGGTGATGGCGGGGCAGGGCAGCTCATTCCTGGGCCAGGGCTGGCCCGCAGCAGCGTGGCATACATAATTTGGTAAATAAGTCACTTTGGTATATAAGTCGCAGGACCAGCCAGACTATGAAAAAAAGTGTGACTAATTGTCTGGAAAATACAGCAATTGTAATAACGCATTAAATTCCCATCACAAAAAGAAAAAACACCACAGAAAAGGACGTAATAAGAACAGATAATTATTCAATAAAGGAAGTTGGTCAAAATAAATTTACAATTCCTATATAAATGGGAACTAGGCAGTTTTAGCTTGCTTTTAGCACCCCCTAGTGTGTTCGTCTTTTTCACACCTTCATTTAAATGCTGAAAGGTCTCCCCAGCCCTCCTTAGTGTCTACAGGAGTGATTCATCACTAAATTGGACAAATCAGCTATGTACATGATCTAAAACATGCAGGAAACATGCTGGAAGACGACTGCAGCGCCAGGTCTGCCAGCTCAATTTTTTATAAGTTCCAACAGAACAACCCGCCAGCCTGAAGTTGCAAGTGGAATATTCTGGCCACAGGATGCAATAGGGAATGGGCGGTCTTTCATTAAACCTGTAAAAGGTCCTTTTAGCACATACTGGCTGAAGAAAATTATTTAAAAATATGAAAAAGTTGCAAAGCACCCCTTTAAAATAAAAATCAACAATCCCTGTAATGGAATCAAACATCTCTAAGAGCATCACGTTCTCGACTGTTGCAAATCTGATTACTTTGTTTTCTATCAATTTTTAAATAAAAAAAAAGTTTCTCTGTGTGATGATTTCACGAAACTGACATTCTGTTGATTACAAAAAAATCCGATAAATAAATACCCTGGACAAAAAACTGACTGGACAAAACTGAGCCAAAGGCAAATCAACCTTTTCATTCACCATGGAGAAACTGCATAGCATGACACAGATGAGGCACTTGTTAAACAAGAGTGCCTCATTAGTTGTTTCTGCATTTTATGTTATTTAAATGCCATCTGTCCTAAATAAACGAACAAAAGGCAAAGTAGTATATTTATAATAACTGTTGGCTGCTTTCAGCATGAGTGTTCTACGTTAAGTGTCTAACATGCAGAGTGCAGACTAATGGGCTCGACACACGGGAGGCGTCAAACGACCGCGATCAGCGAAATTTGTCGCTGTCGCTTTTATTACCTGACACACGGGAGGCGATCCGCGGCCAGCAGCAAAGCCGTCTACGTGTTCTGTTCCATGGCGAAATGGAAACTTCCGTTGTTTTGTTTGGCTGTGTCAGGTTGGAGGGAATTAAGGTTATTTAAGCGGTTTAGAGTTAAAAAAGCGGTAGATATGATGTTTCACAAGATGCTGCTAGAGTTGTGTGAAATCTTACTGATTTTACTGTATAAAACATAATAATAATCAATTTCTCCTTCATGTTTGCTCGGAGATGTACGGAGCATCCTGTCCGCTCATTGGTCAGTGAATGAAACCTCCGTTGATTGGTCCTCATCCGAGCGACAGCGATGAAAAGTTGAAAATATTTCAACTTTCTGGGATCGCGTCGCTGGGTCGCCTGTGAAAGACACGTGCACGAGCGCAAAATTTCACACGCACGTTTTTCGCATTTCGCTTGGTAGGAGGGAGAACCGCGATTATCGCTTTGTCGCGCATGTCTCATTGAAAATGAATGGAGGAGAGGCGATGTCGTCTCTCGTCTGTCGAGCCCATTACCTAACAGGAAAAGTAAAATTTCAAAAGACTGCTCCCTTTCCTCAGGTGTTTAATTTCAGACTCCAACCTTTAGTTGGCTTTGAATCTTTATTTTCAGTAAGCTGTGTTAGATCATTGCCGTATGCCCTGAATCGCACATATGTAAGTACCGTAATTTCCGGACTATAGAGCGCACCTCAATATAAGCCGCACCAACAAAAAAAAAAAAAGGTTTTCTACACACACACACGCCACACTCAAATACAAGCCGCGGTGCAGCAGCCACATGCAGGTCTCCAGCGCACAGCACATGTTTGGCCATAAAATAAGATAATTAGACAGAAAGACGCTACATGGAGGTTTTTTGTTGTTTTAATTCAACAAAACAAATTTTAAACACGGGTGAACGTGCCTGCATGTTTAGAAAAGAAAACAGCACTGACAGCGTTCATATTTCTGGATGGTTATAAAATAAAAACAGAACTGACACGTTATTACCGGTAATTTGCATGTTTAGAAGAAAAGAACAGCGCTGACACAGCATTAATAAGCCCTGGATGATTAGAAAATAAAAACTGCACACAAAACATGCCTGGTTAGTAAATAAAACACACTTGCCTACCAGAAAAAGTAATTCGCTCTCATCTTCCTCTTGCGCACTAAAGCCATTAAAGTCCTCTTCTTCAGTGTCGGAGTTGAACAGCCTCAGAAGGGCTTCGTCACATACCTTTTCTGTGGCGATGTCAGTGTCGCTGTCCGTGTTGCTGTCATCATCCCCGGGTGAAGCTGGCTTGAATGAGTTCTTCCCGCTGCCGTCTCCAGCGCCGAACCATGGATTCATTCATGCCAAGCTTACGTGCGGCAGCACTGTTTCCCTCCTTTACTGCCAGATCGATGGCCTTCAACTTAAATGCGGCATCATATGAACTCATACGTGTAGTTACCATGATGAGGGGGTATGGATTTGAAAAAATGTCTTCGTCGTGCCGACTGCTTGCATGTGCTAAATTAAAATTAGCACTTTCTTCAATTTCCACTTTTGACTTACACCTGTTTCACTTTCTGCTAAAGCGCCCCCTGGCAGGTGAAGGAAGATCTTCAGTAACGCCGCACCTCATTATAAGCCGCATGGTTCAAAGCATGGGAAAAAAGTAGCGGCTTATAGTCCAGAAAATACGGTAAGTATTTTATAATTTTATGACTTAATTCTTTCTGATGTTAATCTATTTCTGTTTAAAGATCATTCAGATTTCATGACTTAGTTTTATTTTGTTTAGATCTATGTGAAGCACTTTGTGATTCTATGTCTGTGATAAGTGCTATAAAAATAAAATTTACTTGCATGTGTGTGATTCAGGGCGTACGGCAAAGCGGATTTGAAAATAACTTTTATAACCTCATTCAAGCGTATTTATTTTTTCATTGTTCCGGGAACCCATGAGCTGACTGGAAGGGGAGGAGACTTCGGCTCCCTGTGAAACTGGGTCAGATAGTAAGCATTTTTTAAGTTACCTTAAACTTTATAGGCTATGCACCCTAACTTTAACACCGTGTCAAAGAATGTTGAAATATTAGCAACGACCATGGAGAAACTGCTGATTTGTCTTCACCTGGAAGGGTAAAAAAAAGGCAGTTTCTAAATAAGCCTTGCAGTGAGAAAAATGTTTTGCAAGTTGAAAACTATCAACACAGAAAGTTTACTGCAAGGTTTGGCCAAAATTGGGTCATACAACAGTACAGCAATCCCAACTACAACTGTAAATAAATAAATAAGATTTATTGTTGAAGACAAGACCCATAACTGAATAAAAAAGGGAGGGTCAACAATGCGACGGACTAGAAAGTTCATACAGGTGGAATTAGTTAAGACCAAAAGCAGGAGGAGCCGAGGACAAAGCTCCTCGGATGAGAAGCGAAACGTCTTCAGGAAACCGAAAAGGTCCAGTTGCCTTCATTTGAACCCTTTTGGATTACCGTGACCTGGATGACTGAGAACCTTCAACAGCAATTACTGTTAGAGTTTTAAGCCAGCTGATGAATATGTACCCTGTTTATTCTTTTAATTATAAACAGTGTGGACTGTCATACTCTGATTTTTTATTGAGCTCCCCTCATTTTTGAAGACTTATAAGGACAATATGCTTTTTAAACCAGAGCTTGACACACAAGATGTTAGAATAAAAAGAAGCTTAATGTTCTTACTGTAGAAACAAAGTCAGCAGATGGCAAAACAGTCTACATCCAACCCTGACAGCTACAGTTTTCCCTTAGCGTCAACATGACAACACTCAACTCGTAATTATCCATTTCATAAAAGTTTGCACACAAAAGAGGGTTCTGTTCAACATACAGACGCACGGGGAGACTGGGAAGGTGCAAAGTAGATAAAAAGAAAAGCTGTCTCACCTGTGAAACCAGGGGGACACTTGCAGATGTACTGAGGAGGAGACGACGGCTGACTTGTTGAAATGCAAGTGGCTCCATTTAAACAGCTGTCTGGTTTCATCAAGCAGGCGTCTCCCACATGTTGACAAAACTTCCCGATCCAACCTGGGGCACAAATGCACTGCAAAAAAAAAAAAAAAAAGACTCAAACTTACCTAAAATAAGCAGGGCCATGGTGCTGTATGCACTAGAAAACACACTGAACAGAGCTGTTTTTATTAGCACAAAAATAAAGCCATCAAATATCAGAGTTCTCCACCTTTTGAGCCAAACCACTGTTAAAAAATCTGATTATGAGGGTTGAATTGTTGACTTTCAGTCTTAAATCTGTTGACTATTTTTGCCTCATTGAATAAACAAATAAACATTTCATTAAAGTATTCTGGTCGGGTCATTAAAATTAAAGAAAGCCTCCTGTTCTTGTACACATAAAAGGTTTTATCCATCTCTGTCATTGAGATATCAACAGCTGCTTCACAATGAGACACTTTTAATTACAATGAGATACTTTTTAATTACAAAAAGCATGATTTGAATAAATCTGTCAGATTTAATTTAGTACTGTTTGGTAGAGCAAAGAGAAGAAAATATGGGATGAATTAGTACCTGGTTTGTTAAATCCCAAATAAAAGAATAGGCTAGCTACAATAATAACAAAAAAAAAATTGTGAAATATTGGCGGCGGGTGAAACAAATTCTTGGTTTGAGTTATGTGTGTAAAGATGTGCCTTTTAGTCCACAATAACAACTCAAATAAACAGTTGGAAAACATCTACAATTGCAACACAATCATTAATTTCACTTCTCCATAGAAGCAGTTTTACAGATAGTCAATCATCAACTTTACAAATAATTTAGACTAGAATATTCAATTCAAACCTACTATGTGCTTTTAAACAAAGCAATTGCGGTTAATTGTTCATTTTTTCTTATACACAATTCATTTTTTCCTTAGTCTGTTTACAAGTTAGAGTTTTCAGTCCCTAACAGCAAGTGTACCTTGATCATCTGCTCAAAGCATGTGACCCTCTAAGTCCAGTACAAAATTCCAGCAGTAGGTGGCAGTAACACTACATAAACATCTAATTAGATATTTAGTTTTTAACATTATAATCCCACGAAACAAGAACAAAAACATAAACAAAAATAAACACATTTTACAACAGCTACAAGTATGATTTCAGCTCGATCTATATAAATCAATAGTGAGTGTGTGTGAATGAGGGTATGAGAGAGGAGGCACCATCTATCATGCTAGCTAGCTGTTTCCTGTGGCATGGGTGCTGTTCATAAACATAAATACATAGACGCCTTATTAGGCACTTCAGAGCATAGCAGCGCAGAGTGAGTAACAATGCTGTTTTTTTTGTGCAGCCTACGGTTGCAACAGCTAGCGCATTGAAAACAGATCAGGTGGGAGTTTTGAGACTTTTCTAGCATACCTGTTGGAATATATATGAATGAACCATCATGCCATACCATGTGTCTGACTTTGTGAAAAAGCATTATAAAATGTGTTTTTATTTTAGATGCTAAACACATTCCTCAGGGGAAATAAATGCAATGGGAGTGAACGGAGACAAAACCAAGATTGCATCTGAAAACTATGGCAGCTCCAATAGGCAGTGCCAGTGGACGGGGCATTTATATATGTCCGTGGTGCTGTTGGCCAGTAACCTTTAAAGCAGGGGTATTCAATTCCAGGCCTGCAGGGCCGGTATCAGCACATTTTAATTTTAACTCTGTCTCAACACACCTGATTTCAATCAGCTGGTGATTAACAGGCTTCTGCAGAGCCCAATAAGCTGCTGCACAGGTGATTCAACCACTGAATAAGGTGTGCTGGAGCAGAGAAACCAATAAAACCTGTGGGATGCCAGCCCTCCAAGCAGAGAATTGAATACCCCTGCTCTAAAGACATTGAATTCAGTGGTGCTGATTGGCCAAAAAATCTCCAGTTCTCCCTAGAAACCAAATGTGATTGGCTGTTTAACTGTAGTTCAGGGGCACTTTTTCCAGTGCTCCAGGAGTGAAATTAGTTTGTTGGAACTAATTTACTTTTAGATGACAGATAGCTGGTGAAAGTCACGTGTAGATAATTCACATTGTATGCAGGAACACATAATAAAGCAAAACGGACACATAATTTTTTCTCCTTTCACATCAGAAAGGACGAGCTGCCACAGCAGACAACCACAAAAATTTACCAAAAGGAAATTCCGGTTTACACTTAAAGTGAGAAAGTAAACTTTGAATAAATCAGAATTTAATTAATTTGGCAAAAATATCAAAGAGAAAATTGTATGTGTTCACAGAAAAAACATTCACTGAAATCAGCTCCTATGGATATGAAGTTTTCTAACTTTCTCCCTGTACATAAAGCAATAAAAGACAAATTATGGAATGAGCTCAACACTGTTCACATCCAGACCCTCATTAAGATGAAGCTCAGGTCACATTTGGTGGGCTTCACAGTATTTCATTATGACTGAAACATTATATTACCTACCTGATATCCGCCAATTACACTCAAGCACAATCCCTCATTTAGGCAGTTGATATTGAGCAGCCGACAGTAGTCAATTATTTCTTCACAGTTCTTCCCAGAAAAGCCACTCAGACATCTGTTGTACCAGAAACACAAAGTAGTAATGTCCACGTGATGCTATTGTGATATGGATTTCACTGAAAAGTGTGCACATTTTTCTTCCAGGTTGTTTGGCCTGGATTGTCAAATGGGTGGAGTTAGAATATCAGAAAAGAGAAAGACGTTGTAAATCGAAATAATAAATACTGATTTAAAAAGTGAAATCCACAGCGAGAAAAATACACAAGTAATGAAAATTACGATAATCATCTGAGATTCAGCAGATAGAACAGTAAATTGTAAATGGCCTGTGATATACCGCCTTCTAGGGTTTCTTAACCCCCCAACGTGCTTTACAACACAACCAGTCACAAAAGTGCAAAACAAGATAAATCCTACTAAAAATAAAAAATCATGTAGCCATCCTCCTCTGTGATGTATATAAATGTTTTATTACATAGACTGTACATAGATTTTATTAAGGTATGAATTTAGAAGACATCAAAAGCTGCCTATAATCCAACATAAGCCTCTGTAGGAAAAACTGTAGCTAGATTTGTTTTTAAAGCACGTCAGTTGCAGAGTTTTTAATACTCACCAGCTACCAAGCACTGACCATGACTCATCAATATTTGCTAACTGCATGAATCATTAAAACAGTTTCACATAAAGTTTTTAAACTGTTTGATTTCCTCTGTGATTCCTGGTGAACATCTCTGAAAGGCAGTAAATGGTGGATCCATTTGAGCTCATTTTTCAGCTAATAAACTTTTCATGTGAGTGTAAATAATGGACTGATTACTGCAATTCGCTAAAAATAGTATATAAACATTAAAAGAAGTGCTGAAAGAATAAAAGCACTGTTTCATCATCATTACATGAAAATGGGATTATGAATAACGAATCTTAAAGACATTTTTCTTGTAATGAATAAAAAGGGTCAACTTTCACCATCGAATTGACACAGCATAACCTTTCATACACGCCAGAGCTGCAAAGTCAAGGTTATGCCAGCTGGAGGATCCAGACGCACAAATCAACCTTTTGCTCACTTATTGTTCTTCATCGCAGACGTAAATAAACTGTCAACGTCTCCTGCAAAAGCCTCATCTCTCTGCTAAAAGTCAGACTGCTGGATTCCTCACTCTGAATAAAAGTTAATCCACATGAATCCTACAAGGCTTTACAACTTATGGCTTAAATAATCATATGTGATGAATGAACAAGATGTCCAAATCAAATGTTTGAATAACCTGTTCTTAAATCAATGAATTTGAAATGAATATTGACAACAAATTCGTTTACACCCAGATTTCACAATTTCTTTCAGATACAAAGATTCTGATAAACATCTAGCTTACATCACACCACCTACACATCACACTCCATCACCGCATATCCACTCCATCACATCTCATTACTCATATCTTGTCATGTATAATCATTAGTTTAGAAAATAATAAAGTTCCCTTTTACCTATATATCTGACTCTGAATTAATACGAAGTGTGTTTATGGTCCCTGAACGAGTCAAAGTAACTATAATCTTATGATTAAACATTTAAAGATCAATAAGGGTGATATTTCATATTTATATGGAATCATCACATCTTATTGGTCATAATTAATTTGCAGTCGTCACGTTATAAAGTGTGACTGCTACACTCTGGAAGAAATCTTGTGATATGATGAATAAAGTTGAGTTTTTTTGCAGTTAGCCATGCCATTTACTGCATGGTTAACAGCTGAAGCCACATGCACCCCAGATCTACCTCCTAATGTGTTCCGAGTCATTAGATCTCAGTGCATTCATGATGCATCTTTTGGTGTGTTCCCAGGTGTAGTTAACCGCACACCAGTGTTCAGGTTACTCAAGATGCATGTTAAAGCCAGGTGTGAACAGGGCCTAGGAGACTGACCCCATTAGATAGCACTCTGTGTTTTACCTGCAGAAGTAATCCTTTCCCCTTGGCACGAAAGTAGCATTGTTCAGACAAGGCGATGGGCTGCACATGCTCTGCTGCCTCCTGCATTCTGGGACCACAGTACCATCTGCACAAACACATCCAGAGACCTGCATATAGAAGCAAAACGGGAAGAAAAAAAATCTAGGTCACCTGTCAGTGTCGGGAGAAAAGGGTTAGGTAACACAGATGGTGCATTAGATCACTAACTGTAGGAACTTTATCAATAAAAACCTGCAGTGATTAATGGTTCCTTGATCAACTGCTATAATAATTTCAATGTTGTGTAAAGCAGTAATTTTAAACTATTCTTTACCAATATGAGCAAATGAAGGGATTTATTTATTTACTTAATTTAGCAACATGTTGACTAAATAAATAAATGGATGAAACACCAGGTAGAATGTCTGTGTCACCTGGTCAGCAGCATGATTGATGAGGTTTACAACACTACTGGTTGAATCGTTCAGAATCATGAACTTTTTAAGTAGGCATACATTCATTATTTGAATACATTTTCTGTATAAATCAATGAATGTCCGCCTTTGTCCATTATGCAACGTTGAAGTTTTATCTGCACAAATAACACAAGATTGGAGTTCGGCCATGTTGTTGCTAATGTTAACAGTTGGCTTCTATAGCCTGGATGAAAAATCTTCAACAGCCTTCCCTGGTGGCAAGCCAAGGTGGGCGAGTCCATGAAAGCTAATTTTTAAGTGTGATGTGGATATGTGTGGCTTTCACTGACCCGAGCATTTCCACATCTATTTTCTTTCCGCGGCTAATGCCGTAAAAAGGGGTAGAAGACTATTTTCATGTTCTGAAACTCAGAGTGACTGACCAAATTTCAAAAGGACAAGTTAACCTTTTTTTCAGTGAAACTTATCTTCAAAGAAAACAACAAATTGATCTTTTAATAATCTGCAACACCAAGATAACTATTTTCAGAAAACCTGTTGTTAATGAGTTTAAAAATTAGCCTAATCCTTTGGATTTATGGATGCACCACCTTCAAAACGGACACAAATTTGCCCTGAATGCCACTGCATGGGCTCAGAATTATTTCAGGTAATAAACGTTTGCTGCTGCATCCAAAAATGTCTATTAAATTTTTCATCAGTGAATGAGTAATGTCGAGTCCTTCTCTGGAACCGAGATGATTTAGGACTGTGTATATTAGCTCAATAGTTTTCCCCCTTTTTGAGAACAGTTTGTTAATTTTAACGAGAGAGAATCAAACCAAATGATGGATGCATTAAAACAGCACGAGTCACTCAATAAAAATATCTAAATGAGAAAAATATCCATTTGAGATTTTCTTTTTTGTTTTCATAATTGAACAGAAGCATTAATATTTTTGCACATAGTTGACATCAAAATGAAAATGAGCATAAATGTAATTTTAAATAAGCACTAAAATGACTCTGCTTCAACGTCCCCTAAGATGTTTTTCATAATCTCGAGTTTCAGCACATATTTTAATGATTTTTTTAAAATTCACATGGCATTCTCATCAGCCCACACAGCATTTAAACTCCTTTAGAGACTATTTGCGTATTTTGAGCAGTTGAGAAATGAAAACAGATAAAGCAGCAAAAATGATCTATTAAGCAGCAGCTATGTTGTAAAACTGTTGGTTTTAAACTATCCTCTTTTTAGTAATTCTTAGGGTGTTTTGTGAGGGGAATGAAAAAAAATCTGCAATTCACAAAGTGTCCTAAATAAAACAAAGGTTATACAGAAACACAATTAGAGTGGTCGTGCATTTTCTCCAGAGTCTTCCATTCAAAACACCTCCGCCTTTGCAAAATGTATGGGCACAATAACATTTGCAGTGAAAGGTGAAAATAGCAGCAGGCATCCAATTACAAAAAGGTTTTGATGAGCGCCATTTCAAGCCGACACTTAAATATGCACAGGGTCATTTAATCAAAATGCTGGGGGAAGTGAGCACTCCTTCCCTCTGCTCATCTTCTGCTGGAAATATTAATTGCCACCGCAGCCTTCAGAATGAAGCCATTTGATCTTGTTTTGGGACGCTATTAATTTTCATATGACATTTCTTGTTTACGCCCCGCTGAGACAAAACAAATAGGGGGAATGAAGCCCTCACATGCTCCCCTGCAGTGCAATTTTGTTCCTCCGGACACGAATACGGCACGCAGTCCGAGCCAACTTCAGAGTCCAGACAGAGGCATGTGAATCCTTTGGGGGTCTCTATACAAGTCCCACCATTTCTGCATGGATTTGGGTCACAGAGGGCTTTCTTCTTTGCACAAGGAGGGCCTGCAAATTTCAAAACACAAAATTAGTGTTTTGTCTAGGCTGCAAATGTAGAGAATCAAAAAGTACTTTTTTTCCAACTCATTCAGATATATTATTTATTTATAAAACCTTAAATTGGAAAAATGGATAATGAATCAGTTTGAAAGAAAAGAAAATCTTAAAAAAATAAAATAAAACTTTCATGGCTTCTAAGCCTCTGGAGGTTTTTATTGATATTTTCTATCAATTACAAATGATGAAGGCATGTGTGAAGTATTGATTTTACACTACGAATGTCTAAAATTATGCATTTTTACGAGAAAGTTTATTTCATCTTAGCCATCAGTTGCTTAGAGACATTGTTTTTAAAAGCCAACAATCTTACTGATGAGCAATAGAACTATTCAGATGTAATGAGGAACAAGTCAACTTCACCACAGTGGGCACGGGTCATCCTTAAACCGTAGAATGATTCTCACTGAGGATTTCACTTGACTTTAAGTAGTCAGAGCTGCAGCTCATTTCACATCGTAAGCTTTTTCACAAGTATGTAATTTTTAAATGTCCTGTAGTCAATTTTTTCTTTTAAAGGGCCAATATCATGCTAAGTCAACTTTTTCGAGTGTTTAACCATGTAATACCGGAGCTTCCTTTTCGACTTTCAAGAAACTCCTGAAGACCCTGCTCTTCAGAGAGCATCTTCTAAACTAGCACCCTCCCTGCACCCATCCCCCTCTCTACTGTCCACTCCTTGTTCCCTCCTCTCCATGATTCATCATGCTGCCTCACTGCCACCTACGACTGACAGGAAATAGTTTGTTGTTGTTGTTGTTGTTAGCCTCAAGGGCAACATGCCGATTATAACTTGTAAGTTGCTTTGGACAAAAGCATCTGCTAAATACATAAACATATACATATATTATTTCCTCATCAAAAACACCCGTGAAACGATTTTTGGCTTTACGCTCGAATCCTGCTCTTTGAGCTGTAGTTCGCCCAGCTAATGTAAATGGCTAAACGGGGCATGTTTGTGTCACCCTGTGCCACCCATCCCCTTCAAGGTAGTATTTAACCTGCATGCTCCTCCCCTGGCCTGTAAACACTAACGCCCACTTTTTTCAAGTTGCGAGCGGGGGATTTAGGCCAGGAAAATGCTTGCTTTTTAACCTCGCATTGGCTGAGGCAGCAGGCAGCGTCTTGTTCACATACTTGCTGCTGCACTGCACATAGTACTTGAGTATTCCACTAGGGGGCGCAGTAGAGAACTTAGACTGAATAGAGTTCCAAGTTTGTGGGGTACAACCAAAACAAACATGGCGTCAATAGAAGAGGTCAGTAATTGGTTAACTTTGTGACCTGGACAAAAAACATAAATGGCAGCATTATCACAGATGGTAAGAAAGACCTCTAAACCAGAGATGACATGACAATGGCGAATATGATTAGCTCGTTTTGTCAACTTACCCCACTGGTTACTCACAAATTGCAGTTTACAAATGCATTGCATTAATTTCAGAGGACATGCATAAACAATGCTTCAAACAAACGCCATTTACATGAAGCATCCATGATAAACACACGTACGCAGAATTTTAAATAGTATATTCCGACCCTTAATCTCCCCAGTTACGAAGAAGTGATTCCTTTTTTAGTCTGCACCTTTGATAATGCCATCCCCAAGTAGAGTTTAATTGTCAGCAATGTTTGGATTTTATCTTCGGGAGCTCTCATAAACTGAGCCAGAATATGTTTTTTCTATGTTATTTCACTGATGATGTAAAATAACCGCCACAGGAGTGGGCTAAGAGATGGATTCCTCCCTCAAATCGGCACCATTCCAACATTAAAACAATCAGAGTTGCAAGTTAAACCAAAATGTTAACTGCTACCTGACTGTTGTGTTAAAGTTATAGCTACAAGCCCAGGGTTTCCCCCAGTGCTTTATAAGCCTGGCGGCCCACCAGGCTTTGCTTGTCCACCCGCCAAGCTAAGCGTCATGCCCCGCCCCCCTCCCCGACCCTACCATGTCTGCTGACACAAACGGCGCAACGAAACTAGAGCCCTCGAACAGCTGAGACTGGTGAGAAACAGCAGCGGAACATGTGCAAACCCCCCACCCCCGCTCTCACAGAGGAGCACTGCGGGGCGGAGCATGCGACCCCCCACCCCCACCCCACCCCCCCACCCACATCTAAGAAGCGGATGCAGAGTAATGCTGCAGTGACTTTATGCACAAAAAATATAAAATTAGACTAAATTCACTGCAGGTTCAAGTTGAATAAAGTTTTGATGTTATTCCCTGGTGGGGTTTTCTTTTCTTTTCTTTTTTTTTTGGTACGTTCTTCACACAGTGCCTACACATTTATCTTTCTAGTGACTCTTCCTTTGCATATTTCTTTAATCCCCCTGCTGATACAAGTGCACACGTCCCAGAGGCTCCCCACAGTCTCCTCTGTGGGCATCAATCTTACTGTATACAACTTCAGGGGTTTGCTTTTGCATCACCTCGCTTTAACAAGTTTCCAGAACTGGTTCACCAAAAGCTGCACCAGTTCAGATAGTTCTCGTCACTTTTATGTCTGACACTTATAATCTTCGTATCATTAACTTCACTCATGTCAAGAAGTCCTGATAACTTCCTTGCTTTGCATGAAAACCAACATATTTTTCTTACGTGTTATTTATTTTGACTCTCTCAACAAACATAATAGGACATAATATTTCAAAACGTAGCCTAAATATTTTGTAAAACTACTTTTCCAGTATGAATATGGGCATGTGAATGAGGTAAAGTCTTGCAACTAATCTGTTAAAGTTAGAGCAAACGAGACTCAAATCAAAAGAAGATCTTATTTGAAACATCCCAAGAGCTCAAATCTTTATTCTGTGTGCATAGGCGTTGTCCGATGTGGGCATCCAGCCCCGGGGCAGCCACTAAAATCCAACTGATTAATGAGCCAACTACAACAGGGAGGTGGAGAAAACACAAGCTCCACAGAACTCACAAGAAGCTGCCCGGACAGTAGGACACCATGACTATGCAAACAGATCCACGGGATCCTGGCTGTCTTCAAAGAGCATTAACAACTAAAGCTAATTTGATGAAAGCTGCCCAGGCTAAGGAAGTATGCTTGCAACAAATTGCA